CTCACAAATCCCAAGGGCAGGACTGGGCGTTTCACTCTCTGTCCCGGTTATTCTCTTTTGAATTTTTTAGATTAGAGAGTCTTTTCCCTAAACGATTCCGACGTTAGGCTCGATCTCTATTCGGCGGGTTCTTTCGGCCTTGCCCTAGCAATGACGATGGCGAGAGACAAAAATACCAGGCCCATTAACCCTTTAACTTGCCATTTACTGTGATTTCAAATCTCAAATCCAGGCCAATCGCATACCGTAAACTGCCGCTTATAAGCCTCCTCCCCCTTCCTCTTCATCAGTTATAGGCCCATCTACCTGTAAACAGAAAAATGCATCCGATTATAAGCCCCTCGGATGAAAGCCTCTCTGCAAATGTATTGAAATGAATTAGATTTTATTGTGAGGTTTTGAAGCACAATTAAACACCAGTTATTATTCTTTCAAAATGCTTCTCCGTTTCTGATTGGCTAAGAGCACACGCATAATTCACCATAACCAACTACTGTTGACAAAATTTGGAAGAATCTTACGATTAATCAGCCGAGAAGGCCTGGGGACGAAGTTGAGTTGTTAAATGGCCGAACAGTCGGCGGAACATTTTACTCGTTTTACGACGAACTATTGTCTAAAAACATTTCAAGAAGACAACTCGACGGACAGCATCTGCTTTTTGGAGTATATTTGCAGACCCGAACAGCCCTTTATCGTCGAAACATGCACTATCGAGGTGAACTTAAAATCAACGAAGGTGAGCACGTTTTTGCTTGTTTTTAAACTAGGCATTATTTTGTATGAATAATAAAGCAGTTAATGAATTCGACTTTTTTCGTAGGGTATATAACAATAATTATTCACCGAAGTGGAGGTGGCTAGTGGTGGCATTGACCAAGCCGCGAACCGGCAAGGTAAATAACCACCACTAGCCACCTCCACTTCGGTGAATAATTGTTATTTAGTATATGCTAAAACAGTGAGATAATTGAGCACAAAAAAGATGATTTTTAACTCATTTACTGTTGCCAATGATTACAATTTTGGCGCGCAATTACCGAACGGCCGTCGCGTTTTCTTACCGACAAATAAACTTTTGAAGGCATTTGTTTAGCTCTTTCGGGGAAATTTCGTCAAAAGAAGTTTTGAATTCTCTTTGTATCTAAAACCATTGTGTAAAAAAAAAAAATATTGAATTTGGTTATAAGGTTATTTATGACTAAATTCCGCTAAATAAAGTAACGCAAGACTTAGGCTTAATTTGCATTTGTAAATAAAAACAAACTTTTTCACCGGTTTCATCGATAAATTCAAGTCAACCAGACAAAGCTTTACGCGTTAAAACTTCCAAACCGACTTTTGTCGCCTTCTTCGGGTATTTCGGGAAAAGCTTGTTTGTTTGTTTGATTATTTGTTGAATTTCTTCGTTTGTTGCGACAGCAAACCGGGAAGCCATTTTGCTCGTTACTTACCCGAGTTTGGCGTCGCTCGCTCGGAGGAACTGGAGGTGAATCAGTGAATAGTGCAGGATATTCCGAGATTGAGCAGCCAATCAGAGCGCGCGAAAAACACTATCCACTGTTTTAGTCTATACTAAAAAGAATTATGCAGATCTCGGAGGGTGTTATCTACTGAGGCCCAAGGTCTCGGTGGATAACACCCTCCTCTATCTGCATAAACTTCATATCCTACTCAACCTCATTCATTAATTGCTAATTGATGCAAAACGTATTTGGATCAGCACTGCTATAGCTTGTTTCGAAGCGCTTTTTTCTATTTCGGTTACCTGCCCCCTCGAATATAAACCCCTCCCTTTATAAGCCACCCCTAAAACCCGTCACGAAGATGTGTAAGCCTAGGGCTTTTCAGGGGCGTAGCCAGGGGGGGGGGGGTCCGGGGGGGCCCGTGACCCCCCCTTGGTGGGCCTTTTTTTGGGCAAACAACCTCAAATATTCAGGGGGCGAAAACCCAATAACAATACTTTGGCGTTAAAGCCCCCTTTTTTTAAAATTTTTTTTTTTTTGTTAATTTTTTTCTTACCAGTGTTCGCCCCCCCCAAAATTAAACCCCCCCCTTTTTAAACCCCCCCCAAAACCCCTGCCGAAGATGTGTGAGGCTTGGGGTTTTCAGGGGGGGAGCCCGGGGGGGGGGGGTCCTGGGGTGCCCGTGACCCCCCCTTGGTAGGCCTTCTTTTGAGCAAACAACCTACAATATTCAGGTGGCGAAAACGCCATGACAATATCTTGGCAGTAAAAGCCCACTTTTTTAAAATTTATTTTTTTTTGTAAAGTATTTTCGTCAACGGCTCTTGTCTTTAGTTAATATGGGCCTTCATGCCGCGATAATACGACTGAGCCCGCTGATACACGAGGGAGAGCAGCTGTAAAACCATGTATAGTCGGCGATCCCCGGATGGTGACCCCCCCTTTGAAAAATCCTGGCTACGCCCCTGCTTATAAACAGCAGTTTACAATACCTAGTCTTAACTGGTTTGCCTTGATTTGGCCTTTTACGGAAGTAGAACCAGATATTTTAGCCAAGAGCCGAACAAAGGCAATAGACCTTTTTACCAATACGGCGGCCATATTGAATTAATTCGATTTAAGGGGTATTATAGGATGCTCAGGGGGCATGACCACATTTCGTTTGTATTTTCGAGCGCTTTTCAGGACATTTTTTCTTACAGTTTTCTTAGAATAAGATTGTAATGGGAAAAAAGATCCTTGTGCCGTGTTTGGATGTAATAATGATCGCCTTTTTCCCGAGAAATATACAGTGAAAGACCATATTTCTAATACTAAACTAGAAAAAGGCCATCATTATTACATCCAAACACTGCACAAGGATCTTTTTTCCCATTACAATCTTATTCTAAGAAAACTTTAAGAAAAAATGTCCCGAAAAGCTCTCGAAAATACAAACGAAATGTGCTCATGCCCCCTGGGCATCCTAAAACACTCCTTAAATCGAATTAACTCAATATGGCTGCCGTATTGGTAAAACGGTCTATTAGAAACTCTCTCACACATTTCAGCTTCTATAAATTTGGCAAAAGTTGTCTCTCTCGTTTTTGTGATATATACAGTAGACTCTCTTAACGAACAACTAGAGTTGTTTCCTGCAGCCTTTCTTTACTCCCTTTCTTTGACTCTATAAAAGACGGATATCACTATTAGACAGACACTTATTGCCGGTCACGAAAGTGGTCGTCTTTGAGAGAGTTGACTGTATTTCTAATACACAATAAATATTGCTTCGCTTATTCTTGGAGTGCAAACAAGTGCAGAGCTAAATACGAAGTTAAAAATAGATATTAATCAATCCTCATGACTGCTCAGGACTAATTTAACCTAAACGATCATCTTCATTCATATTTATATACTTCAAATGACAGTATATGTATCTTTTATCCCATTCCACGGGACAGGAGTAGCTGTACACTCGAGCCAGAAAAAGGTGTAATTATAATCTATACTTTCCAAAATATTAAACCACTGCATCGCGCATTCGGCAGCCCAATGTCCGCCATTATTGGGATCTTGTTTAGTTTGGCTGAGACGTGCGGTGTCGCTTCCATGATGTTTCATATATGTGGAAACTCACATGTCAAAAATTTCTTTCAAGCGCGGGCTATACTAATCTGGATAATAACGAAAGAAGATACAAGAACACAAAAATAAGAAAAAAGAATCGGAAAACAGAAGGCAAAAGACAGCTTACTCAAGTAATGGCCTAGGTCATTATAAATGTCCCAGAATTTTAAAAGAGGGTGGTCTAATGTAATATATTCTCGAGATATCCCATGACTAATAATTTAACGGCAATTCTTTAAACCAAGAAATCTTCCAATTTCATTTTAGAAATTGCTCATAATTGCGTCGTGACGAGCCACGCCTCGTTTTATCGAGAAATTCGTTGAGTGGAAATTCCCCCCACATAAAGAGCAAGCCGTTTTCCATTTGTAGTTCCCAAACAGTGGCTACAGTTAGTCCTCTTGTAAAAAAGATTGGAATGAGACGATGTCAATACACGTCTTTCTTCTGAAGAAAATTTTAGTTAGAGGAGGACTGACACTAGTCAATGAACACCAATTGCACCTGCTAATTGTAACGCTTTGAACCATGTCGTGATGATTCGTAGACACTTTATAAGGTCAATGTTTTGATACAGAGAAACTGGAGCTACTCGTTTGGCAACTGGTGGGAATCGTTGGTTGCGTGGAATTTTTGAACAATAAAGGGCGTGGTCGATCACATGACCAATTATTTAGGATTTTTTTTTCAATTTTTGTTTAGCTTACTTTACTTTACTATCTATAATTCCTCGTGCATGTCTTTAACAATGGTTTTTGGAAAATGTGCATAAAGATTATACATGACCTAGACCCAGGCCTTAATCTACTTAAGTACAGAAAAATCAGTAAAAAGAAGACAGTAGACAGAAATCAGTCATACGAAACGTAAAACAGAAAACAGAAAACAGAACTCGGGAAACAGAACAGGGAAATCAGAATGCAGTAAACGAAAAACAAAAGTCAAAAAACAGAAACAAAATTGTTCTCTACACGCTCTCAACACATGCAAATATAACACTTTCAACGGAGCTTTTCTTTCTCTCTGCGTCTCAAATAGTCAGGTATTTGCATATAATATCCTCGTTATCTGTTGTAGGCGTTAAGTTCATTCACTTTAAAACTTTGTTTCCGAATCACTGTCCCTAAAGCTTAACTAGTGTTTTGCCGTCGTACGCAAACATACAATCTCAAACAACTTTACTTAGTTCTATTCCAGAGCGCAGCGTTCGAGATAGTTATCTTGCTGCTCTTTTAATTGTTTGTATCAGTATTAAGTGGTTGTACTCTATTGTTTTTGTTTTCGTTTTCGTGGTTATTTTCCTTTCATTTTCTGTTATTCAAAGCTATCGCAGCATGACAATGAAGAATTTCTTTGAGTGTCAGATTGCTGTAAATGTGTTGATAAATTTTTCCCACCAAATTAGGTCCTACTTATTCTGGCAATATGGGGCATAACAACGAGTTCAATCTTTTGTCGATAAATGTTCGTGGGATTCGCACTTTTGAAAACCTGAAAGCTGTTTTTAGTTGGCTTGTAAATTCCGATGCTGACATATTTTTCTTGCAAGAAACATACAGCGCAAGAGATATTGAAAATATCTGGAGAAAACAATGGAAGGGCGAAATGTTCTTCTCGCATGGCAGCAATCATAGCAGAGGCACTGGTAAGGGATAATTTAGATTTCAAAATACATTCTACCAAGGTAGATTCTCAAGGTCACTACATTTATCTGGAGTCTTATATTCATGATTCGCCTTACTTTATTTTAAACATTTACGCTCCAGATAAGTGTAGTGAACAGTTTCTCTTCTTCAAAGACTTATCGGATATTCTAAAAGGTGCAAGAGTGGAACAAGATCACCCATTTATGGTCGATGGGGACTTTAATATCATTCTTGACCACGTTATAGATGGGCAGGGCGGTAATAGTAAAAGGAAAGACTCCGGAAAAATTATTAAAGACATATCCGCTGAGCTTGTTTTAGTGGACATCTGGCGCATAAGAAACCTCACAATTACAAGTTTTACTTGCGGCGTCATAAGAAACCAATCATACGATGGCGCTTAGATTATTGGCTCGTAAGCGATAGTTTACAAGATGACATAGATTCAGTGGACATTAAAACGTCAATTAAATCAGACCATTCGGCAATAATAGATGATCTTGAAAAAGGGCCTAATTTCTGGAAATTTCGGCTTATTGTGAACTTCTAACCACTGAATATGCCTATTGGTTCGAGTAATTCAAAGAAGTACAAGATAAACGTGTCTTATGGGATTTAATTAAATACAAAATTAGACAGCAAACAATCAGATACAGCAAAACTAAAGCCCTCGAAAGAAGAGCGAAACCACAAAAGCTTGAGGGAGATTTAAAGTAATGTACGGAAAAATGCGATTCCGATCCGAATACAAATTCAAAAAACTGGAGGTACTCGAGTGTCTTCGGACGGAATATGATAGTATGTATGATTACATTACACAAGGTGCGATCATTCGTTCTCGGGCTACTCGGTACGAATTGGGCGGGAGAAATAACAAATATTTTTTGAATCTGGAAAACTCCAAAAGAAAGAAAAGCACCGTGCGGAAAGTGTTTAACAGGGATTCAGGGGCGTAGCCAGGATTTTTTCAGGGGTACGCACGATTCCCCAAATTAATTAATTTAACAGTCCGTTGTTAAATGAATTGAGCCAAACTGTGAACGTAAATTATTTATATTTTAACCGTGATCGTATCCTTTGCTTTTTCTTCATTATTCACTTTCATATCTTATTTTATATTATTAGTTTTTTCACCCTCGACTTTTTCAGGTACGCGCGTGCGTACCGTGCGTACAGGTAGCTTCGCCCCTGGCAAAGGAAAGTTAACTACAGACCCTAAACAAATAATGAAGGAGTTAGAAGCATTTTATTCTGACCTTTATGATGGTGGTGAATGTTAAGTGATCTCAATGAAATTCCCCCTTTATTAGAGGAGAAGAAAAACGTTTGTAAAGGCAAATTGGGACACGGAGAGTGTTACAATGCCTTGCAGACCTTCCAAAAAACAAATCACCTGGAAACGACGGCTTAACCGTTGAATTTTACCTTGTTTTTTGGCCCGTGTTTGGAAGTTTGTTTGTTGAAAGTCTAAATTATGCCTTTGAGTACAGAGAGCTGTCAAATTCACAGAAACAGGGGGTTATAACTAAAGTTGAAAAGAAAGGAAAAGACAAAAGGCAAATCAAGAACTGGCGTCCAATATCTTGGCCCAAGCGGATGGAAAATGTGCTCCCCGAAATAATTCTTTTGATCAGAGCATCTTTGTCACGGGGAGAACTATTTTTGATGCCATCAGAACAACTGACGATGTGAATGAGCATACGATGAACAGGGATATATCGAGGATCTTAGTGGCCATAGATTTTGAGAAAGCTTTTGATTCCCTCAATCTTAATTTCCTTTTAAGAGTCTTACAAGCATTTAGTTTGGTCCTTCTTTCATTCAGTGGGTACGAGACTTGTATAGTAAGGCCTCCAGCTGTGTTATGAATAATGGTTTTACTTCAGTACCTTTTTCTCTAAGTAGAGGGGTAAGGCTGGGGGATCCTCTTTCTCCTTATCTTTTCATATTAGCTTTGGAGATCTTAGCATAAGCTATTAAGATAAGAAACGATAGTAACATTTAAGGTATTAGAATAGGGGAAAAAAGTGTTAATCTCACTCTTTTTGAGGATGATATGACCTCCTTTATTAAAGACAATAGGTCTTACACAATCCTATTCGACACCCTGACGGCTCTCAAGAAAATTAAGGCATGGGTTTTCTATTTAATTCCTCAAAAACAGGGGAGGGTAGTCTAACTTCTTGAGCTTTCAATATAGCGCAAAATAACTTAAAGACAAACTTCCTGGGTAATAAGTTTAATAACTCTGAATAATGACTGGAGTCACTAATTGTCACGTGACCTATTAAGGCTATTTTTAGCTCAAAAATCTTTTGGCAATATGGCACCATTTTTAATTACTTTCTGGAAGTTGCAGTTATCATCATAGTTATGAGTCTAGTGGGTACATCATGTCTGTGTCCGTACCTTTTAAGTTAATAGTTTAGACAGCACCGAAATTCAAAAATCGTTTGATAAGGGGACTGGGTACTAGTGCAAAATTCCATTTTTTTACGCTTGCAATAAATTATTCAACAAAGCCCGGGCGCAGATGTCTAGTCGTTCACCTAGGGACATGTTTGGTTACAATTTCTTTGATTGACTCCTATTATAAAATGGTACCATTTCTAATTTAAGTTTTTTTAGCGCAAAATGGCCGTTAAAGGTCACGTGACCTAATTTACATTTTTTTTTTTACTCGAAATCGCATATACTTTTGAGAGTCATTATTTTACTCAGGTTTTGTCCCCATAGACCTTAATCCTCAAAATATGGACCACCCCTCGACTTTTTTTAGGGAAATTGAGAAACACCCATGCCTTAATTTCCTTGAGCTTTCGGGGCGTTTTCAGGGTTAAAAGTAAATAAGGATAAAACCAAAGCATTAGCAGTAGGAAATAGTGTATCTCTCTGGGAAGGGCTTTTAGATATGATTGATCTTTGTCACATCATCAAGATTCTAGGTGTTTATTTTGGTGGTGATGCTAAAAAAAGAGAAGAACTGAACTTTTAATTGGAACTCTCTGGAATCAATTAAGAAAACGATTAACTTATGGAAAAGGCGAGGCCTATCTCTTATAGGCAGAATACAAATTTTTAAAACCTTTGCCATCCGTAAGCTTATGTTTAGAGCATCGGCTATTCAGTCTCTAAGGATCTCGTGAAAGAAGTTGATTCGATCTTTTATCATTTTATCTGGAACGGAAAGGACAAAGTAAAGCGCAATGCAATTATTTCAGATGTTGAATATGATGTTGAATGTTGAATATGCTTCATACTGAACACATGATTCGCACCAAGCGAGTGATATGCTTACAAAAATTTTTAAAGGTTTATGAAAGTCCATGGAAAATGTTTTTAGGCGAGCCTCTGAAACCTGTTGGTGGAAAGTTTTTACTGCTTGTAATTTTGAGGTTTCTAAACTAAATATTTCTCTGCCAGCTTTCTATAAGCAACGTCTTTTTGCATGGTCAGAATTAAATGAAAGGGAACCTAGTTCAGTACACGAAATTACAAATCAAGTTATCTGGAACAACAAGTTTCTCTGTGTTGATAAGAAATCTGTTTACCGACTGAGATATTGCGGATCAAGGCTTTTGTAAAATCTGGGACTTATTTTCAGGTAATGATGAACAACTTAACCCTGAACAAAGTTTTTTCATTATGAGAGTAATTATTTCCATGCCAGCAGCATGGCGTTTGCTAATTCGAACAGCTAATATTGCACCAGTGATTTCTCCTCTGTCGAATACACCAGCTATTTTGTTAAATTATATCTTAATTCCAATTCTTGACGCTTTTTCAAAATTCAAAGCACAACTATCAGTCTTTTCTGGTGAAAAAAAACAAACTACACCTACCGCTAAAGAGAAGCTCACCTGTCCGTAGGGCGTGTGAGGCGCGAGAGAAAAAAACGCATTTTTAGCGTCTCTCCCCAGTCTCCCTCTCTGTTTTCAGCCTCGTTCCAGACCTTTTGTTTGACTGCTCGCGCGTACTTGTTTTGCAGTCGAGTGAAGTCGCTACCCTTTCATATACTTAGAGCCTGAAAAAGATATCCCTTTCGGGCGGAGCCTCTTCGTATAGGCCCTTAGCAGATGTTTGACTGAAGTTACTGGCTTCATCTCTCTCCTTTTCATCCTGTAGTCGCCTTTTTTCTTTTGGTCCCCGGCAACCTTATTGATCCCCTTTGCTATTCCTTCTTCCTGGGTTTCTCATTCTCTTGGTGAGATGGTTTTAAACACCCCAGGGACGTTGGCGGGCCGGCCTCGTACGGGGGTGCCAGCACCCTGGGGCAGTCCTTTCATCCTCGTGAGATTTTACTTGTCTTTTAGTCAGGAGCCATAATCGGGGTAGGAGACCGCAACTAGTACCTTTTCCAGTAATGGGGTTGGTTCCATCGAAATAGCCAGATGTGCTATTTTTAGCACAAATTGTGCCATCTCATGTGACACGTGCGCGCATTTTTTTGCGATGACGCTGCGCAAAGGATAACCAAAAAAAATCGCGTTGTAAATTGCCTCCGTAGGAGATGAGTAATTTCCATTTCTGTCATCATTGCTTCCTCAGAATTTGAAGCCAGACCTCGAGGACAACCTCTTTGACAATAACTCTAAATGTGAGGACTGTGAATGTGACTCTACTTATATTAAACAACGCAGTGAGAGTGTCAGAGATGTCGTGCGATGGATATCCCGTTCGCACGAATCAAACAAAAGAAAAACTTCCGCATGCGAGGAAGAGGAGGGCGGAAAGTTAACAACAACGTAACAACAAATAACTATAACCATTTTTCCTCAAATATATCTTTGACTTCATAATAAATACAGCTCCACAAGCTTCAAACCGCGTCTACTGGTAGAATTTCAAGGAAACTACTTTAAATATAATAATTTTCCCAGTTAACGTAATCCTTGATAGCATGGCGCAGTGGTCTAGGAAACGACTCTCTGTGCAGATGGTCCAGGTTCGATTCTCTGCTAAGCTCTTTTTTTCTTTGTTGAATATATATTTTTTCGCTTTGTTTTTGTTTTCAATCATATTTTTCCCCTTAGCTTGTTAGTCTCGCTTGTGTAAGCAGCGGTGAGGTTTAAATAACAAAAGCCCTATTACATTTTGCACAAGAAAGCAAAACCCTGAAGGATCCTGGTCATAGTAGTAAAATGACGCCATTATGCAAATGACCTATTTATTTTCGGCGATGATTGAAATGACGTGTTATGTAAATCACTTTTTTGATCTCTGGCAGCGATGTAATTTCTCTGAAATCGAGGCCCTTCAATTTTCGCGTATTTATACACGTGTGTAGCCTGCGACCGCAGACCTATTTCCGGTCGTCGCCTACACGCGTACTAGCGTCAATTCAGAAACAAGTAAAAAGTATCTACGTCGATAAACTAGGATTTAAAAAACCTTTAGCGAGTAAATCCTGTTTCGTGTAGAATTAATCACCTCCTAATTTCTCGATCTAATCTCCAAGCAAGGGAGACTAATGAAACTTTAAGCGCGTTCTTGTTTCCGTTTATTCTTACTGCTGTCACACTAAAGCCTTGCAAGGTTTTTTCCATGGCAATGTTTATATATCATTGGCTCTTTCTTCGACTGTGCATGCATTGCCTATCAACCTAATGATGATGATGATAATAATAATAATAATAATAATAATAATAATAATAATAATGATAATGATAATGATAATGATAATGATAATAATAATAAAACATTTGTATACCGCATATACCAACAGCTCTCTACCTAAGTTTTTTTGGTTTGTTTCGTCCGAACGGGATATTCATCACAAGACATCTCTATCCCTTGGAAGGTTCATAAAGAACTCAAATAAAATCGCAAAACCATCGCCCATCTCCTGAAATTCCAACCGAGAACCGTGCAAACTCGAGAGTTCCCGCGTGAGTTTGTGACGTCGAGGGTGTCGTAGTTTGTCCTAATAGTAATCGGCCCCTTGTTCTAAAATTAGCTTATTTGGCTTTTTCGATGGAACCGCGTGCACCCTGCATTTGCGGTCTCTTACCCCGATTATGGCTCCTGATTTTAGCCTAATTTGGACATAGCCTGTTGGGGAAGGGGGGAAGGGAAAAGAAAAGAGTATGCGTGCGAGAACGCTATGGCCTCGCGGGGCGTGCGGGGAAAAAAGAAGGGAATCCCTTTCTTGCTTCCATGCGCGCCTATGTACTCGCATGCCTCTCTTCCTCCCTACAACCTCGTCCCCACGGCTTTTCCGTCAGAAAGTGGGAGGGGTGCCTCCGGCTCCGCCCATTTTCTAAGGGTAAAGCCCTTGGGA